ACAATAAATGTTCAAAGGAAATTTCCTAAATTTTGATGACATTGTTTATTTATAATGTCATGTCATGATATAAAGATCAGAATAAGTCCCCTGTGCAAAAAAAAAAAAAAAAATTTATGGAGTAATTTTGCAGGTGAGCAGAAAAGTAACAACCAAGGAAATTAATAAACAACTTGCATTTTTTGAATGCTTTGAGATTTCATCTACAAGTTCACATACGGTTCCCAATCTGCAGTAGGATGTTGAAGGACTACATGGTTCAACATTGTTGTCATCCATGCCTCCTTCCACTACTTCTAAACAAACTGTTTTGTGCTTGCAAAGTTGGCATCGCCTACTTCTCCAAGGAGAAGACTTAACATTCCTCATTAAATTGTGAAATACCTCATGCTTTCAGTATTCTTTTTGCATGTGCATATTGCAAACTAAGTTTTATAAGCATACTGAGTTCCGTATTAAGCAACACTGATAAAAATCCAACTAGTCAAAAAGGTAATCTGACAGTCATTTATCTTTTCAGCTGGTTCACCAGAAAGCATAATAAATCAATATAAGTCTCATGCTTATTTACATAGAAGACATCTTGAGTTTAACGAAGGTGATTATGTAATGATTCGAATTCGCCCGGAACGGTTTCCTCCTGGAGCCGTCAAGAAATTACATGCTCGTAGTGCTGGACCTTTTAAGATTATCAAGAAAATTAACTCAAATGCTTATGTAATCGATTTACCTCCAGATTTTGGAATTAGTTCGACATTTAATATTGCAGATTTGGTAGCTTATAAAGGTCCTCCTTTTAACCCTGAAAATCCACTTGTGGATCTTGATGAGCCTACCCCTGATCCTTTCCTTGAGGGACCCCCATTGCCACCACTGCCTACTACTTTTGTCCTACCCCTGATCCTTTCCTTGAGGGACCCCCATTGCCACCACTGCCTACTACTTTTGTCCCATTTACAGCTAAACACATTGATAGCATTCGGGATGATCAAATCATCTCAACCCGAGATGGTGGTTGCAGACGATATCTAGTACGTTGGAAAGATCGTCCTGAATCTGATGATACATGGATTACTCGTGAGGACCTGCAGCGCCTGGCTCCGGATCTATTGGAGTATTATGAGGGCCAGTTGGAGCCTAACTCGACGGGGTCGAGTTCTTCCCACCCCGGGGGAATTGATGAGGACATCGCACAGCCTCCACTTCGCACATATTTTCGCCGCCGTCGTCGTCTTGCTTCAGCTTATATTTGGTTTTGATTTTGAGAAGGCTTGGAGTCTAGCTAGTGTTACGTTTATTCTCTTTATTGTATTTGCTCTTTTTTTTAGTCCCACATCGGATATGAGAGTGAACTTGTAGTTGTTGAAGGCCTATTTAAAGAGGTCAATTCTATGGAATAAAGCAATGAATATTTGAAGAAAATTTTGTTTCATTTGTGAAACTTTGGGTATTGATTTAATCTCTAAGATTGAGTCAATGGTGGTGAAGCCAAGGCCCGGGTTGCGATTCGTGGTCATATCTTGTTAATTTTCCAAAACCCTAGCTTTCCCAAATCTTTGTTCTTCCCCAAATTTCCCAAATCCCTTACATTAAACCCTAAAATTCCCATCGTCCCGCATCAATAATGCTGCAATTCTGTGATAAAACATGAATTCTGAAATAGTCACACAGCAATAAGCATTTGTACGAATATATAACAGTTTTCATAGGCACAAAATACCTTGCTATATTAAGTATGCTCATAAGAGGCAACGAAAGATATTTAGATGGTGGAAACTCAGGTATAGTTGCATCAGAATTGGGCATGAGTAATGACTCAAGACAATGACGACCCCACATTTTAGCAACATCAAGTGGAAGCCACCTGAAATATAAGAATGGTCAAAGTGAGAAAACGCCATAAGAGATCTATTTTAGCAGAAACAAGAAGGCTTCTAAAAACAGGAGAAGAAGGTTACCCGTTGCAATTCAATGTCAACCGACTAGCACCTTTGGAAAGAAGTAACTGCACAGGAAATTATATATTAAAAAAATCGAAGCATGCAGAAGTTAAAAACATAATCTTGGCATCCGAATTCAAAAGAAGTATAGTGCAAGTAGATTTGCCTGGCAGCACTTGAGACTCCCTCCACAAGCAGCATAATGCAAAGGTGTGCTCCCAGCTCCTGCCACATTCACACAACCAATACCATTTCCTTAAAATCATACAAAATCAATAAAATTAAACACTCACGTCACGAACAAGAAGAGTTACCTATACCTATCAAATTTATCGCTGAACCATAATGAAAGGTGACAGTCGAAACACTTGCATGCAAATCAAGCAATAGTTGCACACAATCAGAGTATCCATTCAATGCCGCCAAATGAAGTGCAGTTACTCCACCATCCGCAGGCTTGTTTATGAACCTAGTGAGAACCCTGAAACCAATAAACTCCAAATCATCACAGTATCCTCTTCTCCACAAAAGACCAGCAAATTATTAAAGTTATGGACAACATACGATTGACTAAATTTAGGGCCGGATGCAGAATTGTCACTCTCAACACCTGAACTGGCCACTCCATAAGGAGCACTGGGGACAAAGTCTGCAGCTAACAGTCTTATGCATCTCACATGGCCATCAATGGCTGCAAAATGCAGCGCAGTCCTGCCGCTTAAATAATCAGCCCTAGTAACCTTAAAAAAAGACCCATAAACATTCACATCAATATCCTCCAACAATTAAAAGATCCAGTGATAAACGACTTAATTAACACATACATTGCATCTGAAGAGCAGCAGAGTCTGCACCGCTTCCCAGTGCCCATGCCGACAAGCTTGCATCAACGCCGTCTAAATTAACCTCAAAACTCAAAATTAGGGCAAAACTGAAAACTGAAACCTGAAACCCGCCAGTAATTCATCAAATCTACTCACCTGACCGCAATAATTCCTAGAATTCACATCCGCTCCCTTCTCTAGCAACAGCGTAACAATCTAGCCAATTCCAAGGGCGACAAATCAACAAAACTCCCCCCACCGAAAAAAAAAGAAAAAAGAAAAAATCGCAAAAAAATTGCAAATTCAAAATCGGGACCTCGTTGTGGCCTTTGGCGGCGGCGAAGTGAAGAGGAGAGTTGAGGCCGCCAAAAAAGGTGGAGTATTTGGCGAGGCAAGGGTTGAACTCTAGCAGCATCTTGGCCTCGACGAGATCGCCGTCTCTCGCCGCCGACACTAGTCTCTCGCCGGAGGCCGAGCATCCTAGAGAGTTCCCCATCGAAGAGACAAAGAGGATCGATCTCGATGTAAGATATCTTGATCACAGCATTGTTTTTTTTGGGGAAAGAGATCAATTTGGGTAGTTCAGCGACAGAGTAACCGAAGAAAGAAAAAGAGATCTTTGTTTTGTTTTGAAGTTTTTAGAGAGAGAGAGAGAGAGAGGAGTTACTTGTTTCTCTCTCTAGGATGGGGATTTGTCTGGTTCGGACGAGGGGGGGCTTTTGTGGCAGACAGCGAGATTCATGGTAGATTTCAGATTTTGTTTTTTAATAGAGCTTTGCTATAGAGACTCAGGACCAATAGAGGGGACAAGTGAGGTGTCCCTCTCTTATTGGATAATGAGTTGGTTATCATTAGGATTTGTCTGGTTCGGACGAGGGGGGGCTTTTGTGGCAGATAGCGAGATTCATGGTAGATTTCAGATTTTGTTTTTTAATAGAGCTTTGCTATAGGGACCCAGATTCAATAGAGGGGACAAGTGAGATGTCCCCTTCTTATTAGATAATGAGTTGGTTATCATTAATGATAGCCAACTCATTATCCAATAAGAGGGGGACACCTCACTTGTCCCCTCTATTGTCCCATATTTTGGGTCCTTAGGGAATTTTTCTTTTTAATAATGACAAATTTTGAAAATACACCTATTTATAAAATTAATTACAAATTTCGATTTATTCTGAAGTTATCCGTGAACATCGATCCAGTTTTAGCCATCGGGCTAAAACTAGATCGATTTTCACAAAAAAATCTCCGAAACTTCACGAGACTTGAAGTCCCGTGAAGTTTAGCAGACAGCTAATTAAGTTGCGTAACTTCACGAAACTTCAAGTCCTAATTGAATTTCTCGAAGTTACGCAGCTTAACTAGCTGCCTGCTAAACCTTACAATTTCAAATTCAATGATAAATGAGGGTTGCTTAGTTCTTTTTTCGGGATAATGGTTAAAAGTTTTTGCAGTAGGAAACACTAAATCCAATGATGATTAACGGCTATAATAATTTCAAGACAAATCAGTTCAAAATGGAAGGATATTGTCGACTGCCACATTATTTTTTGAAATGTCCTTGCACATGATGTTCATTAACTAATAAATGATGCGAGGCAATGAAATTACTGTAGAAAGACAAACAACCATGCAGCCTCAAGTGAAGTATTCCCGAAATATCGAACGGTTGCTAGAGGAACTAGATTTGAGGGACTAAATAACAATATTCTCCCGAAGACACAATAGGACATGAGGAGCTAAGCAACAATTTCAATGAGTCGCGGGACTAATTTCAAAATGTTTTCAAGGAGCAATATGGAAATTACCCTTTTTCTTAGGAGGTGTTTGGTTTAATTTTTACAAATTATAAGAAATGTTTTCCACACAAAATATGATTTCCTTATATTTCTTAAAAAAGTAAAGGAAAAGTTTTGAGAAGTCAAAAATTACCAATTTTCTTGTTTTTTTTTACTTTGCTTGTTTGGTTCAAAACAAGAAAATAGTCCATAACTTTATAGAAAATAGCAAGATTTCCTATAATTTGTAGAAATAGAACCAAACACCCCCTAAATTTATAGAAAAATGTCAACTTTATAGAAAAATGTCAATGTGGTGTCAGATTTCTTGGTGATTTCCGCCCATTTTGAGAGAAATTTGATTTCTGTAAATTTTGGTATTTTTTGTACTTTATAGAAAACATTTATGTGAATTTCTTTTTGAACCAAACACAGTTTACGGAAATCTACAAAAAAATTTTAATTACAAAATTGTCATTGTCAGATATTTTGAGAAAATTTTTCTATAAAATTGTGCAACCAAACACCCCCTTAGGCAACAAGCTTATTTGAGAGGGCGTTTGTTTCACTAAAAATTTTGGTATTTGGTAGAGATTACAAGTTTTGTGATCAAAAAGTGAGTTTTTCTGCATTTTGGGATTCTATATATGATGTTTGTTTTAAGAAAAATTTTAGAATATTGAATCCCAAAAGTGCAAAAAGTGCCCAATTTTTAGAATTTGCCAAATCCTCTCAATCGAAGAGGATTTTAACAAATCACATAAATGGGTGTGTTTACCTCTCAATTGGAGAGGATCTGAAAAATCCCAATTTTGTCTTTTTGTGGGAGGTAGTTTCACCAATATAGCATATTCATCATATTACAAAATTTTGGTATTTGGTAATGCTACAATTTGAGCTTGAAACAAACAATAGCATATTCATCATATTACAAAATTTTGGTATTTGGTAATGCTACAATTTGAGCTTGAAACAAACAAAATATTACAAATTATAGTATTCAAAATTTTGGTATTTGGTAATGCTACAATTTGAGCTTGAAACAAACAAAATATTACAAATTATAGTATTCTAAATCCCAAAAAATTAACGAAACAAACTACATTTTAGAAATCATTAACTCATAATAGAACACCTATGGATTTCAAACCCCATGGTGAAATCCATATCCTAAAATTATAGGATTTGAAACAAACACCCCCTGAGTGGATCTATCTTGATTTGGTTTAGGGCTACAAATCAATAAGCTGATGAGATGGAGGCAAAAATCTTCGAGAGGTTTTATGACGGATAGGAGGTTGTTGTTAAGACAGGTGAGTTAATTAAGGAAAGATATGCCAGGATCCCATTAATTAGTAGAGTGGAAATAAAATTCATCCCATGGGCTCATCCATCTTAGCGAAGGTTAATTCCAACAAAACTGTATCTAATGCTAGAACAGTTTATATATTGGAATAACGGCGTGGGTAAATATGGATAGATGAATAGGAAACAGGATATATACTGTAATCAACTTAGGAAAATATATAGATAAGCCCTATGATATTCTTTTTCTTATACCTTATATAAATCTAACTTTAGATTCACCTCTTTTTTTTCTATATTTGGTCTAGATATATGGTAAATATGTTAAGAATGTTCATCTTATCAATGAAGTTGGACACGATGATGTGTCTAGGGCTGAGCATGGTTCGGTCCAAACCGAAAAAACCGACCGAACCGACCCAAAAAAATCAGTTTTATGAGTAGGGTGATTCGGATCGGTTTGAAAACTTTTCAACCCGAACCGACCCGAACCGACCGAATATAGTGCAATACTACCCATTATGATCTCAAACCCTACCCGACCCGTTTTCAAAGAGTCAAAGACTCAAACCCTAAACTCATTTTCTGAATTATTATGGGTTGAAAACAATATCATTATATTAATGTTTAATGCTTCATAATCTCCTACTTTGTTGATTTTTTTTTCTTTAACACAGTTTGTTGTTTGATAAGAAGTTTGATGAAGTTAGAACCGAACAAACCGAACCGACTTGCAATAGTTCGGTTCGGTTTTGAATTATAGACGGTTCGGTTTGGTTGTTCAAATTTTAGTAAAAACCGAACCGAACCGACCGTTGCACACCCCTAGATGTGTCTAGTTAAAAAGGAATCCAATTAGCAAGGGGAGCCTACGTTTTCTCCAGAAAGAAAAGAAACTCATTTTAATTGCCATCCTAATATCAAATTCAAACGTACATCTATTTAGGTACATCTTACAATGGGCGATGAAATTAATTAGAATTTCCCACTACTTACTATTTTGGTCAAACAAAATAATTTTGCGTATAAGAATTAAATTACTTAGCCAAATCGACAACAACGTCTTCACTAGATCCAAAACGTTCAATCTAAAATTTGAATATAAAAAATATATATATTAGGTGAACTCCTGATGTATTATTGTTCCCGTCACTAATAATTTGTCAACACTTGGGAGTAGTCAACACGTTTGAGGGATTATGGAAGCAAAGATGGATCCAAACATAAACTATTAAGCTCTTCTACCGAACTGAGTAAACTAGAACCAATCACCAAGTTAATTAATAGAAAAAATCAATGGAAAGAGTAGTTATAAAATCTCAATTAATTCATCACATGACGGTAGTTAGTGGGAAACGTTGGTTCTTGTCAATTCCTAATTGGACTGCATGTCATGAAAACTCACCTACGGCTTTGGTTGGCAACTCCTCACTAGAAATATGCTAAACTTGAGATCTACCCTGTTCAGCTGTGGATCAACTTTTCCCCTGCTTCACAAATAAACCAGTTTAAAGGCCAATAATAAACTAAAGCAAACTTGGTCATTTCTAGCCTAGCTTTTACCGATCAACAAAACATTCTAAACTTGGACCACATTCAAAAGCCTAACCAATTTTAAAGAGTTGCCAAGCGCACCTTATATATATTGTGATGTATGTATCGTGACGCCGCACTGACCAATTGGGTGCACATATATAACGTGTCGTTAGAAATCCGGAGAGCTAGCAGCGGTCACATACATTTGTACATCACAAACAATAGAAGATGAGCTTGTGGATTATTTCTTAACGCCATCCCTTACTGCTTAAGTCAGCAGTGTCTTTCATTTAACTGAAGATCGACGCATTAAAAAAAAATCAAAGAACAAAGTTAAAAAAAATGTTTTTGTAGGGGCGGTCTCTTATCCATCTCTCCATAGTAAAGACGTCGACCATTGTGCATCCTGATCATGCAAAGTATCCTCATCCAATTAGAGGGTCAAATTCAGACCTGTATAAATAATAAACAAAATCAAAGGTGAGACCCAAGAGACAATTTCAACACGAATTGCAGCCTCTATAACAATTAATTTCAATTAGCAAATGTTTCTATCAGATTGCAGACAAACAGATCAAGCTGATCAATATCTCCAAGTACATAAAATAAAAAGCAATCAAAACCGCAACTCACCCAACAACCGTGAGATGTCCAACAATTTATAAGCACCATGATGATTCAGATATTACGCGATGCGGATATTATAGGGCAGTGATCGTCCTCTTCTCTCAGCAGATTGCCTAGGATCAGGCTCAGCAATTGCTCTCTCAATTAGCACATACTTAATCCGGCTCACTGATTTCCTTACCTATGAAAAAAAAACATTTAGGCTGCTATGTTATTAGATCAACAAATAGATGTATAAAGCACAGATTTATTGCTCAATCAGGAAAGTTACTCTGATAAAGTTAAAGAAGAAAGTTAACTGGGAACAAGACCGATTTATCGGTGAGCTACAAGGAAGTTATCTCGTGAGACCAAATGTTTTAGGTTTTAAGAGAGGAGCCACAAATACAGCTATAATATCTGGTTATCAAAAGAAGGTAAACTCTTCATGTTGCGATCCTTGCAGGTTCTTTAGTGCCAAGGAACCACATTCCCACTGCTTGTAAATGCATCCTTCTTTTATGAGGGGGAAAATACAAGCTGTTCAAACAGCATATTAAATTGCAATAACTCAAACTGGTAAACATCACTGCTTGTAAATGCATCCTTCTGTTGTGAAAAAAAAATGCTGTTCATACAGCATATTAAATTGCAATAAATCAAACTGGTGAACATCACAGCATGCCGCATCGATAAGCGGCAATCCATGTCAGGAAATTAGTGCAAAGACAAGTTGAGACTCTAGAAGGATACTTGCAGATATAATCTTGATAGAGTTGAAAAGAATTGAATTAAAAAAGAAAACCCCCATATGATGCTAGTAATATGAGTTTTTCGGATATATAATTAATCCTAGATGCTTAACCGAAACTGCTGAAAGCCAAAACAAAAACTGGGCTAGGTTTATTAACGAGAAAGTTAATTGCAATGTACAGCCATCTTCAGCATAACTAAAGAACCTCTTTGTTTTTCACCGTAAAATAATCAGGCTATGTGATAAAGAAGGGAACTCAAAAAATTAAGTTTCACAACCCACTTCGAAACCAAAAAAGAAATGAAAAAAATAAAAAATAAAATTTAAAATAAATAAATTTTAATTTTAAAAAAAAATCTACAGTCTTCCTTCAAAACATCCTCATTGGTTTTAAATAAATAAATTTTAATTTTTTTAAAAAAAATCTACATTCTTCCTTCAAAACATCCTCATTGGTTCTCCATCTCCAAACTAACGAAAACAATAAATCAGTTAGTCATAAATATTTCAAAGACATACTTAGCAAAAGCAAAAAAACTTTCTAGAATACATAACATGCTTAATGACTCAGTCTTTCATTCTCCGGTTACTACTTTTGCGCCCTGGATCAGGAATACATCATGAATCAGACTTGAATTGTATCAAAACTCGGAGGGTTGGGTTGCGGGGAGGGATCACCTTTCACCCGCTATTTCTATATTTGGAGAATACATTCATTTCTTACTCTTTTGCCCCTAATTCATTTCAGCATTCTCAAATTCAATATACTATGAGCATATTCTCTCCTAGTTGTTTACTGAAGGTCCCAATTGTAGGTATGCAACAACAGATGCAAGAAATAAATGAATCAATTGCAAGAAAGAGGAAAAAAGAAAGTAACTAAGATCACGAATATCTCTAGATAATAACCAACATATTCCATGTTATGGACTAGTACCTTCTCAAATCAAAACCTGATTAATATCTTGACCAAATCTGAAACTAGCCGGACACATGTTCGATTCTTCACTCATTGGACACTCCTTGAATAAGCATAAATTTTTGCAGAGGTGTTGTCACACCGCCAAAATGAACAGTTTATTTTGAGATGGATGACAACGGCAACATGTGCACAAAGCACATGCTAAGCCTGCGGTGCACTTCCATATTACAATAAACTTTATTTTAGACGAAACTTTATTGACAAATAAAGAAGTCTCAGAGCAAACAAGTTCACTCTAACGAGTCAAGACTCTTATTACATATGCATAGTAGCAAGACTCATATAACTTTAACTTTCAGCATCAAATATCCTAAAAGATCATTCTCATGTTCCAAAGCTCTAAGATACAAATAAAGCTATCTAATTTTCATCTGAAAAAGATTGAAAAACAACGGGTGAGTTTACACTCAGTGAGCAAAAAACTTATCATTAGCGGATCAGACAAGTTTAAGAATTTATCAATACTAAAATTTAAATAAGCTATCGTAAAAAACAACGATTAAGAAACACATAATATTTCGAATAAGAGGAATTTCCAAGAATAGATGTGATATTGTCATAAAAGAATATTCACAAATTATGAAACAATACGAATGAACACTAAACACTTTTAAAATCGTAATTATCCATCTAAATGCACACATGAAGAACTTTCTCAGTTGTTACATTAAGGCTACGAAAAGTATAGCCCGGTAACATGGAAATGTGCATAAAATTACTATAAGTCAACACTGGTACAGAATATACCTAACACTATCATAAGTTGCCCGAAGGCCACTTCAATTTTGTCAAAAAGATCACTTTAACACTGATCGGTACATTCAATACCATATGATAGGCTTAAACAAATCACTTCACTCCACAACGGACTTCTGAGAATTTTTGATATTTAAAACACTTTTCTTTTTGCTCAAAGTATCACTCATAATTTTCACTAAAATGAAAAGCAATATAAATGCTTAAACACTTTTACAAACTTTTCGCATATCAATTTCATAAAAGTAGAATATTCATGAATCTAAACAAATAGATAATTTATTTTTGTCAAATAGAACTCTTTAATAAATGCATTTGAAGAATAAATTTGCAGTGATATATTTTTAATAATCTCGTATACTAAAATAAAATTTACCTTGTAAAAGATAAATAGCTATCATAATTTAAATTTGTTAACAATTACTAATAATAAACATAATAACATGTCTAATCCACAATTTCTCTACACAAAAAAATAAATTATCATTTAAATAATATATAATAGAAAACAACTAATGAGAAGAGATCTACTCACATCAAGAGATTTGATAACACTTTTAGAGAATCGTACTCCAAGAACCTACTCCTCGATCAAACCTATAATCATACAAGATGCATAAAAACTAAATATTCCATACTCAAACTATTTTGGGTATAAAACTAATATTTTTAGTTTCTAAGGGGTTTTCTAAAATTTATTTCTATCCTTTCTAAACAAAACTTGGGCCTAACAACAACTTTTCTAGTTTAATGGGTTAAAATGAAAATCTTTCCATTAATTAGGTTATGTACAAAATCGCCTTTTCAAAGATTCTGTACTCAAAGCTAATATTTGTATTTCTAGGGGTCTAGCAAAATTTTTCCTTTTCTTCTTCCTCTTACCTCTTCCATTTTGTTGATTGCTTATGAACCCAAATGGGTTTGCTTGGGTTAAATGATCGGAGCAGCCACCTCCATCAAGAGTCTAGATCTAGGTTTGGCCTAAGGTCGCTGGATGTCATCGGAATCAACACCGGTGGTCTGAAAGGTATTTTTTTATTATACAACTATTCATAACTAATTAGTAAAGAAATAAAATTGAATCACTAACCTTTTAAAGCTTAATCCTCCATCTTCTTCTCTCCGTACTCTCCAGATCCTTTTCTTTTCTTTTTCTTTTTTTTTTGTTTGTGTGCATGAACCTATGAGGGATTGATTTACTTAGGGTTTTCAAAGTCCATTTGTATTCTTTAACTCCTATCACATTTAATCCTATTTAACACATTATTACCCAATTGAAACATGAGTTAGTGCTAGAGTTACAAAACCTTTGATTTTCTATTTTTTTTAAATGATAAAAAAAACCGGTTCTCTACAGGTGTGCCCAATTGTATAATTCATGTTTTAGTTTAAAACATTCGTCATACATTTTTTAGGAGTATATATCATGCTTCGAGTCCACTTCCTACAACTCGCTTTTATGTGTCAGATTCATTTCGGCCCATACTCAGTGCAAAAGTATGATTTTAAAGGGTCATTTGGGGATCTAGTTAAAAAAATGAGTGACTTCCAAATGTATACTACAATTTGCTTAATAAAGGAAACATTAAAATGGTACAGAAAGTTTAGTTTTCATAATATGTAAATAATTAACAAAATCAATCCCATGTAAGTTACTGATATGCATGTATATAGCCCTGCCCCCATATCAACATGTTACAAATTTGTTGTGTCCCCTTTATCTTACCTTTTACAAATCTATTGTGTACAATAACTGCATCCTTACTCGCACCCGTACCCGTGTAGCATAGGTTTGAAGACAACAACTACAAAGTTGTTTATGCTTAACTGGCTTGGAGAGTTCTCTATGAACAATTGAAAAGACAACAATTTTTTTTTAAAGGCTGATTCGTTGAGGACAGGACTCAAAGTTTTTATTTGGCCTTATAAAATTGTAGCAAAATTCCTAAAGATGCAAAAGCGGGGGGAGACAAAAGTTAGGTCTTTAGTTAAAACTCAGCAAATAATGTAGATGTTCAAGAAGCATAAAGAAGTCCGAGACCCCCCCACCCCCCGGTTTCCTGAAAGGAGGAATGCAAGGCAAAAGGGAAGTATTTAAGAGTATTTTTGGAGGCAGAAACCAAAGAGGATCCAGATAAGAAGGAATAACAAGGCAACCAACCTTAAGATAGTTTTCAACTCATATTTTCTATCCTTGTCTCCCCTTGCATATCTGTTTATATGAGAGCTGAACCAACTCAAATGTAGGGATTGACTCATTTATACTACATCATAGATAATTTTGAATTAAACAATAGGAAATGGAATTCAGTAACTTCCAAAGTAACTCATGAACTAAAGTTGGATGATAAAATAGGAGTTACTCATAAATGAAACAAAACTCATAAATGGAAGATAAAGTCAAGTGACTTTAGGAAAAATTCATGAAATGATAAACCCTTAAATCAAATCTGGTTATTTCTTCCTACCTTAGACCTAGACTCCAAGCCAAACTATCAGAAAACACTATTGCACATAAAAAAATATACAAAAAGTAAAACAAATTGCTGAAAACAATAAAACTCGAAATACTAAAACAATATTATCACATCACCTGCATCCAGTAGTCATCTTCTTGTACAGAGCCATCTTATTCACTTCAACTTCGCTGAAATCACAGTGACATAGTAGCTCAGATAAACTTATCCAGTTTAGGTTTTAGACAGACCGCTATAAAATAAAAAATATCTCCCATATCTCTTAGTGGTTAATGTCAAGTATGCACTTGTTTCTTCTTATAGTTTTGCTAGCATGTTCTAGTTTCTCATCTGAGTTCTCAATTCTGGCTTCGTTTGGATACCATGGTGTTTTTCTTATTGTGTTTTTGTAAAAAAACATCATGGTATTGTGTTTTTCCCTTAAAATATTTTCAAAATATTATGTTAAGTATTTTTAGTCAACACTAGTTTGACTCATTATAACATTAGTATTAAACATATTATTAATATATTATATATTAATTATAATAAAATATATTATAAATAAAATGTTATAATATTTACTTTACATTATTATAGTATTATAAGTATTAAATGTAATGCAATATAATATTATATAATGTATTATAATATTATATTGTACTTTAATGAGTTATATTATATTATATTATTACATATTATTTTCAAATAATTATATATTTAATTATTTTGGTATATCAATTTGTTATTGTTGTACATTATATTAATATTTTTATAATAATGTTATTTTATTATTAATATAATATTATACTATTATTAATATAATATAATATTATTAATAATGTTAATATTATGTTATTACTAGCATGTTATTAATAAATTAATATATTATAAATATTTTAATATTATATAATATATTATAGTTTTTAATATGTAGAATTTATTAATAGTACTTTAATAATATATTAGTATTTATGATAAAAATAAATATTATTATATTATTAATATATTATTTTTACATTAACATTTGTTAGCAATAAATTATTTTATTATTAAAAATTATTTTACTTTATAATAAATTATATTATTTATTAAATAATATATTAATATTTATATATTTTATTTATTATATAATACATTATTAACATATTAAATATTGGTATTTAATATATTATTATATTATTATATAAGATATTTTATTTATTTTATTTTTATATTATTTAATAAATATTACTAATATATTAAATTAACTATAATATAGTATAGTATAGTATAATATAATAAGCATGTTGATAATAACTCTATATTAATTACGTTTAATATATTATGTTAGATATTATATTAACACATTCTCAAACTGAAAATCAAAACACCAAACTTAAAACACCTAAAAGGTGTTTTGAAATAAATGTTGTGTTTTTTATTTGAGGATGATTTAGTTTAAAAAAACACCATGGTTTCCAAACGCATGATGTTTTGTTTGTGGTAGAAACATCATGGAAACAAGTAAAATACTATGGTATCTAAACAGAGCCTAAGATAAGCTAGTATCTATTTTCCAAACAGTTTCTTTATCAAACCATGCACTCAACAACTAATTCATTCTGGGATTTTGTTTTTTAAAATAAGAGTCCCAACAAGGTGATTCATTGACCAAGATAATAACATTTCTAGGATAAAACAAGGTAAGTGCAAAACTTTCATGACCGAATAGGCATGATAGTTTGGGCAATCCCTGCATTGTAGTTAGGGGTGGCAATTTTTGACCCAATCTCATATAACTTTTAACTTCATTACCTGTTTTATCTCTTGACCCCAGTGCGTCTTTCCCAATATGCTCTTTTTCTTTGTTTTCTGACTGAAACTCATTGATGCAGTTTTAAATTCAAATCTCATGATTAATCTTATTGCCTGTCCTATTGGTGTTGAAATAATTTTGCAATGTCAATATTGTACTTCCAAAGTACTTAGGCAGTTATGTTTGGTTATTTGTGCAATATCGAGTTAGATCAACACTCATTTATCATTTTCCTTTCAACTTTCAAAGATATTTTATTATATTAGTTTTAGTTTACTTCTATCTGATTTGAGGCCTTGAATGGATATGATATCTATGGTAATTGGATTTTGTTACCTATGAATTGCAGACAGCTTGACAGGAGCTTGCATTTTTCTTCATGTTAAAAGTAGGATATGATATGTGTCAGTTTATATTAGTTACTTTTAATTGTATAGTCTGCATGTTCTCATATTGATCAACGTCAGTCTACAGAAGCATTTTTCCTTAACCTGTTGTATCTTCAATGTTTTATAAAAACTAGTTGAATATCCAAAGTATCATCGATTTCCAGTAATATTTGTCTCAGATAATGGATGCAGGAAAACAAAGGGAAGAATGTATGAGAAATGATTATGAAATCAAAACCATAGCCTTAACAATATTTGTTCAATCCCCAACTTTAGAGCCTTAGACATTGCCTGTACCAAGTGTTGATTAAGTATTTGCTGACACTCAATTATAGTAAGTCCCAAACAAGTATTATCAAGGTTTTAAATGTCGGATGTCGGGTTCATGTCGGATGGTTGAAATCCATGTCGGATAGCGAAAATTGGGGATATATCGGGGGACAGACTAAATATCGGATTGTCATATCGGGTGGTGCACATATGTATAATATCATGTCCTAAACGTAATTTAAGCATTCCTAAATTCAATATAAGCATACTTTATAAGTTCTAGAGGTGGCGCCGGCGATGGGTGGATTCTGACGTCGCAGGGAGGCAGTGCCGGCGACGAGACGTCGCAGGGAGGCAGTGTCAGGGCTTTTCTTCTTCTTCGTCTGCTTGTGGTCCTTCGGATGAGTCACCGACCACCCTCTTCCCTTTATCCCGACGACGGGATACCCTGCCGCCTTCGGGTTTGGTTAGGGTTCGGATTTCGGTGCACAACGGGAGATGAACGACGGAGGTCCAAAATGGAGGTGAGAGAATGACGTCGTCGTTTACGAAAGAAGTGATCGGTTCCCAAGCCCGCTGTAGCCCTAAATTTTCTCTTTTCTTTCTATCGGGTTCATAAGAAACCCTTAAACATGAGAACGGGTCAAACGTATTTGGGTTTTTATCACTAAACCCAAACCCGATAATAAAAAAAATCTAAAAAAAAAGGGTCATATCGATCGATTTTTCAAGACTGAAAAATCGACCGATATGCCCGATATGACCCCGATATTTTCGATTTGGCCCTGAAAACCGACATATAAGTTGAAAATGCCCATGTCGTGTCGCTCAAGCCCTTAAACCGATATGTCGGCCGACATGTCCGACATGTCGGCCGACATTTAAAACCTTGAGTATTATTCAAGTAACTCAAGGCAAGTCAGTAAACCGTTTAATAAAGAGGATGGGTACCATGACCTGTTTATTAAATGGGTTAGGTTCAGGTCATGCTTATACAAAGGATCAAGTTTGACCTCACCTGAATGCACACAACATAACCCCTATGCCACCCCTAGAAGAGGACCTTGTATCCTGATACATTAGGGTAGGAAATAGGCCACTTCATTGTATCCGACCTGTTTAGTAAACGGGTTATCCGGTCAACCCAAGTTACCTGAATAAATCGAATTTGGAACTTACCGTAGAAATTGAGTCTCAGTCAAAATACTCAATAAACACTCTGTACAAGCTAAGTCTGAGATTCTAAAATTGGAGATTCGACAAAAATTACTAAGGACAAGGCTTGATTTCATATCATTTCTCATACATTCTCCTCTTTTTTCCTGCATCCACTATCTTGGAAACAAATATTGGTAGAAATCAGTGATACTTTGGAGATTCAGCAGCTTTTAGAAAATATTGAAGATTCTACAGATGGAGGAAAAGAGCTCATAAACATAAACTCACACTGATCAATATGAGAACACGCAGACTACATGGTACAAAGAAAAATAACTAATCTGAATTGAAGAAAAGCTTGGGTTCCAGTCAGGCTGTCTGTAATTCATAGGTAACAAACTCCAATGTACCTTGAATGATAACACAGCCATACAAGGCCTTAAAGCAGATAGAAGTAAGCTAATATATAAAAATATTTACAAATGTTGAAAGGAAAAGGATACCGGGGCAACTAAACCTAAAGCTTAATGCATCAAAGATAACTTTATGTTGCACATATACATTACAGATAATTAAACAGGAAGCTGTTTGAGGACTTTACAAGTTGTAAAATATTAGCAAAGCAAAATCATATCAACACCAAAAAGACAGGCTATAAGATTAATCATGTAGTTTGGCAATTACTTCTACTTACAGAAAAATATATAACCTCATGATGACAGTGGATAGATATCATTTTCTCCATCCTTGATGCCAAATACTAACCAGCATCCACATGCAATGCAACCCATTCAGGGTATACAACTAATAAGGTGAGTAAAGATTTCAGAATTGTTCTACAGAGAACTAAGAGATATGGTGATGTAACAAGGTTAACCCAAATTCATGGTAAAATTGTTGTCTCTGAAATCAAAATGTATTCAAATAAATGTAATAGTAACTTGAATAGCGGTTTCCAATTGAACATTCCATATTGCGTGAATATATCTACCAGTGGAAACAAAATAAATTTAGGAGTAAACATGTGCAAACATATTTCACTGCTCACATGTTTTCTACTAAATTTATTTTGTTTCCACTGGTAGATTGGTTCACGTAATCTGGAATATTCAATTGGAAGCTACAATACAAGTTACAGTTACATTTACTTGAATACATTTTGAGGTTAAAGACAACAATTTTATCATGAATGTGGGTTAACCTTGTTACATCACCATATCTCTCAGTTCTCTGTAGAACAAATTCGAAATATTTATGATTTATCCATCTTATTAATTGCATACTTATCAATTGTGGACACTGGTTTTATGTTTTGCATCAAGCACATAGAAAATGATATCTATCCACTGTCATAATGAGGTTATATATCTTTTTTGTAAGTAGAAGTAATTGCCAAACACAAATCCAAACAAAGTGATAATGGTCTTCTAATTGACTACCGCAATATTTCAAGACTTCTATAGGTGGTTTTGGCCTTCAAGAAGGTAGCTAAGAGTAATTGCGGAATGAAGATTGATCTTGATTTAGTCTATGAAGTATCCAAGATATAAGTACCTCAGGGTCCAATTCCCCTACACAACAGATCAGGATCGACTACATTCTAAGTAAATGACATATACTATATATTTGTAATTTATACAATTTTACTCGATCGTTTTTTCGTTCTATGGGGAAATAATGCATCAGTTTGATTCCTTTATCATTTTTAATTCTTTTTTATACTGAATGCTTTATTATTTTGCTCCTTATAATTAGTAAGATACAAGTGTTCTGATTTGTTTCTCATAATGAGCATGATGAAGCTGATCTTGATTCAGTCTATGGAGTGTCCAAGATATTAGTACCCGAACAGATGAATTATATGATTTTTTCACTTAATTTTTTTTATCTAGAAGAATACAAGTGGGAAGAAAATGCAAATTTCCGCCTTTGTTTTTTGTTTAGAGAAACTAGAAGTGGATTTTTTGTATGATTAAATATTGATAACATTGCATGACAGATTGTAATTGTAAGGTGTAATATATAAAGAGATCAAGTTATCACCAAAAGCTGTTTCTGAATGAAGCATACAGAAGTTTGTCAGAGCTTTGTTACGTGGTTCGTCAGCTTCTATGAAACTGCAGAGGAAGAAACCCTACTCAAAACTAGAATAAAATCCACTCCTATGAAATATTAGATATGCTAGTATAGTGCATACGCAATGCACGTGGGTGTGTTTGATTTATGTTGTGAATTTTTTGTCCAAGAAGTTAGGTTTTCGATGTAATTTTTTTAGGATTCATTCGTAATTTTATAATCATAAAAATCTCACGAGTAAATATAATTTGTTATGCGGTACATTTTTGAAGTTTACATTGGTTAATCTATACGTTTACGAAATTTCAGGGTTTGCTCTATAATTTTGTGAAATTTAAGGCGATTTTCTGCAAATTTATGGCTTATTTATAATTCTTTTTGTAAGACCTAAAGGAATTAATTCTATTTATTTAATAATTAAGATGTATGACATTTAGAAATTTTACAGATTTTGATACTTTATATGCAAATTGGCAATATAATTATATCATTAGGAAGGGTAAATAAAATAATGTATTGTTAATACATATAGTTTGATAAGTATATCGTACATAATTTTATAGATTTTGGACTAATATGAAAATCTTTTCAGTTTTAAGATTTTACAGTAATGTGTATCATTGTTTTTCACTAACAATGCTTCTAAGTTGAAGCCACAATCCAAACAAAAACTTCGAGGATTTTTATTTTTTAAATTGCAATAACCTAAGAAATACAGATATGTACTTCTTAAGCATATAGCGGTGCTAAAATTTTATAAGTCTCAATGTAGTTATATGTACAATAGATGGATACCCATCTCAAACAAATACTTTAAACTAAGACAAATCAAGACAACAAAAATAATGAGTTTAATGATACAACATGAAGCACTTTTGCAAGCAGAAAAATTCCTTCCATAAATTTAGACAATGAAATCCATATTCTCCACTCATTATTTGGCAACCAATGTACTTTTCACCCACTCATGAAGCTGACACCCCCGTCTTGGCGAGCATCAACGGCCAACATGGGTGTATGATGGTTCACAATACTCTATAGCAGTCGGAGCTAAGTGATTCGCCATTTATGAAAAAGAGATGATCTCATTTGAGCTGCCTATTAAGTCAATACAATTGTCCGTGTGGGAGGTGGTAAGCAAAATTGAAGGGTGTTGGGATCTATAGAGGGGAGGTCGTGAGACTTCAATGAGACAGGAGATGAGGGAGAGTGTTAGCAGGGAGAGGCATTTTTCGTATTTTGATGGTGAAGAGAATGATAAGAGGAGAAAGAGGGTTTTTTTGTGGGGGTGGTGAATTTGTTTCGGTTATGAGATGGAGTAGATGAATAGGCTTTGAATTTGAGAGGAGGGAGATGAAGAGAATTAGTCTCATAATAATACTTTAATTAGTCTAACAATAATTGGATGTAATAAATTATATTTTCGCGAGATATTTTACTCAAATAATGTTGAAGTAGTAGGAGATAAGAGGTTGCGTTGTTTATTAGTAAAGAGTTGAAATGTTATGTTATTCTCCTTAAAGCCTAACTATAGTGTAGATGTCAAAATGTTTGATAATAATACTTTAATTAGTATATATTATTTGTTAAGGAGTTGAAAGGTTGTGCTTAAGTTGATATTTATTAACTTTAATATTTAATAAGAGGTATATTAACAACTTATAATAATTATGGTTATGAGAATTATGTTATGCAAATATTGGGACTTATAGAAATTTAGAGGGGAAAAATAGGAATTCAAAAGTTTAGACACTCATATCCTCTTTTAAGTAGCATAGATATAGATATAGATACAGATATAGATATAGATGTGTGCATGCATATGTACATACATGATTATCTGATTATTTTTGTTTATGAACGCACTTAAAGATTTTTTTTATGAAAACATGCCAGTTATTCAAATTTTGAAAAAGGATGGCATTATAATACTGTAATGCAGTTCTTTTGCTTCCACACATAATGTAATTTGGTCTCATTACTGATGAACGATTTTGTATCCACAGAAAAAAATGACTATGGGAAAAGAGAGAAGCTGATGGCATACCTTTGGAACATGATCTGGGTTAGGAAAACAAAGATTATGTGAATGAAGCATCTGACCCTTGGACATCAACATGTTCTTTTCCTTCAAAAGAGCATACCATAGCTTATTAAGATCATCCCAAGATTTGATACACAGCCCTTCCAACCACTACCTGTAAATATATCAATAAGAATTAGGCTTTTAGTTATTACATGTTTTAGTCTTCTAGTCAAGTACATAAAGAACGGGTAGAAATGTAAAAGGAATCTGCTAGAACAGAATTACATCTCAGACTTTACATTTGTCATCCTACTCGTATTTAACTAAATGGCAAGAAATTATCGCTACAAATGCATGCAAGCACTAAACTAGAGTTAAATTGTGGTTTGACCATAATCCTAAAGCATGGTTGAAGAGGCCATGAGAGAAAGGATAAGTAGCCTCATACTCTAGAGAGGAAAAGGAAACATACAACTTCCATGATAGAAAGGACAATATCTATCCAATTACAAATTATGTCAATCAACATAAAAAAGAACTATCTCATACACCCAAGAACCAGACAAGTAATTTCTTTGCGAGATTATAAAAATTCATCCCTACAAGTGTTAAAGTATAATGCAAAAGACTAAGAATATTCAAGAATGGTCAAGACTAGCACTAATAAACCATAAGGAAATAAAGATATAGGACTATAGACATCCACGACGAGAATATTGACTTCAGAACACGTTGGACTATAAAAAAAAGAGTTAGAAAAGGTAGTATAATAAAGAGGGTAACGAGCAAAAGACAATAAAATAACTTTGGTTTCAAGGCTTTAAACCGAGGTTTTGAAGAATGATTGAAGTGATGTATAATAAGTTAATAACCTGATCATATCGGATTTAAACATGCTGATTTGAGGTGCAAAGGATAATACTGGTTAATAATGACTGCATGCCTATATTAGCTGATAATGACTAAATCCGATATTCAAAGTGTTAAAAGTTGATTTGATATTGTTATATTGAAGGTAAAAAATCAACAACTAATTCCATATAGCAGTGATTTCAATTTAAAACTACGGAAATCACAAAAACTCCGTGTATAGATAATAACGGAGGCGAAAAATACCACTAGCAATTTTAAGATTTCAAATCTTTGTTTAAACTATAGAAAACTCTATCATTGTTTCAAAATAAAGGTCAAGCTCTACGAAAGTTTAGATTTTCTCTGTCAACTACATATTACGAACAATGTTTTAAACGTCGCATGTTGAGTTCATACTAAAATTCATATCGGATAGCAGAAATCGGGGACATGTTAGCGGACATGAAAAAATATAGGATTGCCATATTAGATGGTGTGCATGTGTAATATAATATCATAAAGAAATCTAAACATACTTAGTAAATTCTATTGTCTAAATATATAAAAAAAAATAAAAAACTTATGATGCTTAGGGCTAATTTTGAAGGAAGGAGGAGAGAAATTGGCAATTAAGGAGAGAGATCGCTCGATATTAACGTCGAAGGAACAACTCAGCTCAGAGAATAGACTAACGAGATGTTGAAGGAGAGAGAAGAGGAGTGACGGAAATGACATCGGTCCTTTTTTTCCCCTAACTGGTCGGTTTTGCCTTTATAAGCAATATTAAATTATTAGGAATTTAAACCCAAACCTGATTAGATAAATATAACCAAAAAAATCGGTCAATTTTTCGAACTGAAAAATCGGCCGCCAACATGTCCCCCGATATATCCAGCCGACATATATGATATGTCCCCCGATATATCTGACATGAATCCTAAAAATGCAATATGCATTGAAAAGCTTCATATTATGTCCGTTGGCCCCTAAATCCACCATGTCGGCCAACATATCTGACATGCGGCCGACATTTAAAACACTGATTACGAAGCTTGAGTATGTGAAGTAATAAGTGTGAGGGCAAATCTTTACTCCAACATGACCAGTAGAATCTCAAGGAACCAGCAATAATCCGAACTAATGAAAGGATGTGAAAAAAATGAACTGCGAGCTAAAAGAGGATGGGCAAAGCAATAATGTTTCCGTGTCAGAAGGAATCATGGTAACCAGGTAAGCTAAGGGTTGGAGAAAAAAATCATGCTCCATGCTTGTGTATCAGAAGAAATCCTCATGAAAAAAAAAAGACCTCAGACAAGAAAAAAAAAACTACACATGTACACTGGGAGGACAGAAACATAAATGCAATAGCAAAAATCTATGCATGTACACTGGTGGGAGGATGAAAACATAAATGCAATACCACCAGTAATACCGACAAGCCTGCATGGCTCTTCAATGAAAAGAATGAGCAAGTTACTACAAGAGAAAAAAAAATTACATTTTAAGGTTGACAAGAAAATAACTTCCATTCCCAACCTTCAAAGACACCCAAATACGGAACGACATACAAGTAACTGCACGTACACAATCAGCGACCATTATAATTTTAACTTATTCAAAACAATAAGATCTTGGAGAAGGAAGACCACACTAAAGCCTCGGCCACTACATATCCACCAAAGGAACTTCGCCAAAGTTAAGCTAAAATCAACAACATGAAAGCCATATTCTTAAACTACAGTCTGTGTTCTATATATAGAAGACAGCGAGCACCTAGTTCTAGCAAACTTTAATACTAGGGAAGCTCCATGAAATTTTGTTAGATGAAATTCGAGGTGTTGGGTTTTCGAGATAGAAGAGCTATGTTTGGAAGTTTAAAAAAAAGGTACATTGTGTGTAAAAGATTGTGAAGATATACACTCAATCCCGTCCACCATCAATATGCATAGAAAAATAAAATAAAATAAAATCACGAAGACAAAAGCATACAATTGCAAAAGGGAATGAAGCTACTACTCCCCTTCATATGCAAGGGCGCACTAAACTATGAATTCAAATGTTACCATAAACAATAGGTTTCAGCTAGCTGCACTCAAAGTAGCTGAAGCATCAGCTGACGATGATGGCGGTGATTTAACAACAGAAAGCAGCGTGCTTTCAAGAACCCTAGATGCAATCATCGTGGAATACCTAAATATCTCAAATTGGTGGAGAAAACTTGGGTGGTGGGGATTTTAATAGTTACCTACGGCCCTGAGAAAAAGATTTGGGAGTGTGGGGGAGACGGAGCGCATCGTTTTGCTCCGTCGAGGGCTAAGTGGGTTTTCGGGTATGGCTTCGGCTATCCTATATTCTTCTCAGTGACATTTTCATATTGGGCTAAGCGGTTAACATCCGATCCGATTCAAGAAAGAGTATTTGCAGTGCAAATACATTTCAGATTGGCCTAATTCTTGCCAAAGGGCATCGCGCAAACACTGAACGGGCCTGTTTCATATAGCTCATTTTTAGATTGCTCCCTTTTTTATCTGGTGACAAGGAATGTTTTCTAGGTCAATCAGGTATGATGAACGAGGTCCGATGTAGGGTCAGTATCGTTTGGTGCAAATTGAATAATCTGATCAAACGGATCGGATTTCGGCGGTCCGGTTTGGTTTTAGAAAAATTTTGGCTAAATACCCATATTGGTATTTTAATTTCACCCCATTTACCAAGAAGGTATTTTAATTAGACAAACCTGTTTTAAGGCATTTTAATTGATTCAACTCACCAACAATGCTTTTTTTCTCGTCGGCGACCAGTTTTCCGGCGAGAGCTCGTCACGTGCGTGGCATGTGATGACTTAAACTGTTTTTTAGCTGCTGATGTGGCATGGATTTTCTGACGTGGCAGTGTTTAAAGGCGGAAATTAACCCTCTAAAAATCCCAATTCACCCAAAATAGGACAGATTCGCCCCTTTTATTTTTAGAATTTGAACGCGAGAGAGGAAAAAATAGAGAGTGAGAAATTGTGGATGAGGCAGTTGAAGGAGATAGATTGCAGGGATTTTATGTGATGGTATTCCTCAGTTGATGCAGAAGGTAATTTTCGGAGGACGACGACTTGGTACGGGTTGAAGCCGATGCGCATGTTTGATTCTCTTTATACTTATGAGATCTTTTGATGGTTTTGAAGAGGATAAGTTAATCACGTATTTAGTTTGAGTTAAATGAAAGGTAAACCCAAAATTTGCTTCCTCATTCCACCTTCTAATACATGTCAAAGCATTCAAACCATGATTAATACTTACATGCAATCTCAATTTTCCACTGACCCTACTTGCTTTAGAACGAGAGCTTGAACTTGATGACGACGACATAATATCTTCCCTCCCAAGCTCAATCTCAGCTTGAATGCCCCCAATTTGATAAACCATAGTTTCCAATCTCACCCAATCTCAGCTTGAATCCCCTCTTTTTATTCTCCCAACTGTTTTATCCGCGTCAGAAAATCTGTGCCACATCAGTAGCTAAAAATAGTTTAAGTCATCACGTGCCACGCACGTGACGAGCTCTCGCCGAAAAACTGGTCGCCGACGAGAAAAATAGTCTTGTTGGTAAGTTGAATCAATTAAAATGCCTTTAAGCAGGTTTGCCTAATTAAAATACCTTCTTGATAAATGGGGTGGAACTAAAATACCAATATGGGTATTTAGCCGAAAAATTTTAGTTCAGTTTGGTTCTAGAATCTTCAAAATCGAAATAACCAAACTGACTATTCTCAATGTAATTGCCTAAAACTCACGCATTTTTTTCTGTGGAAACTCACTTTCTTTCTAGGTGAATAGATAATTTGCAATATTACTTCTATATACCTTAATTGATAAAGGTTCGATTTTAATTTGTAAAGTAATTGATTTGATGAGTTTTATCTTCAACTTGGTATACGAGATGAGTAAAAGCTTTGAATGAGTAATATTATTGTCTTTCAGAAGAAAAAAAATCCCTTATTTGATATGTCTAGGCTCAAACTAATAAACAAATTCAACCGAAGTTACAATTTGGTTTTGAATCTTACTTGGTCCGATTCGGTTTGTCAAAAAATAGTCAAAAAACAACCAAACCGACTGTTTGCTCACCATTAGTCCACTGTGCATTGTCAACCACAGAGAAATGAGATTCAGAGTCTAATCTCTCTCACCACAGTGGAGCACACCCAATGGCTGGGGACCTACCACCACATATTTGTGGTCACATATGGGACAGAGATGACATAGATACCAGTCGATCTTTGTTTGTATGTTCTATGCATTTCATATGTTTAACAAGTAAGGGAATTGAGGGTTAATCAATATCTTTGCAGTGCTGCCTACATCCATCCATCTCTATCAAGGCGTCATCATATTTCTGCTTTTTTTGCAAACCGCGGCCAAAAACCTTAATACCACAAATGTCATGCCAGGTTACATAGGTATCGTGGGAGGCGGGGAAAAAAATCCCACGACTTTTCATAGAAATTAATATATCAAGAAAATAACGGGTCAAACATGTATCACTTTTCAAATTGATGATTGTATGGATTTTGAATAATTGCTTTTATTAAGTGTATTTTTTTTTGCTAATTTTTACTGTTTTTACTGATTATTTATTTTTGTAATTGATTTGAAATTAGTGTTAAGATAAGTGTAAGTCCTTTTTCTATATGAGTTTTTTGAGAGGGCCTTGGTATGATTATTTTTGATTGGAGACGAAGTTAAATAAGGGCAAAAGAACAACAACAACAATAAAGCCTTTATCCCAAACGTTTGGGGTCGGCTACATAAATTTTATTCTCCCATTCTATTTCGTTATGGGTCATCTCATTCGTTAAGTTAGTCATAATCATATCATTTCTAACTGCTGTTAACTAAATTCTTTTGGGTCTACCTCTAAATCTCATAGCCTCATTAACTATAATACTATCATTTTTCCTAACGGGTGCACTAAAAGGTCTCTATTGTACATGATCAAACCATCTTAATCTATTCTCTCACTTTATCCTCAATAAAAGCAACCTCTAATTTACTACTGATGCACCCATTTCTTATCCTATCTTTTAATGTATACCCACAAGATTGTCGCAACATTCTCACTTTTGCTACCCTCATTTTTTGCACATGTTGATTCTTAATTGCCCAATACCCGAACCCATAAAGCATGGTTGATCTTATAACCATTTTATAAAAATTTCCCTTTAGTTTTATTGCTATTCTACGATCACATAAGACTCTTAAGGCACTCCACTATTTTAACCATCCCGATTTGATTTAATGTACAACAGCATCCTCTATCTCACCATTATGCCTAATGATTGATCCTAAATAGCAAAAATGATTAGTTTTAGGTATTTCTCAACCATCAATATGCACTATAGGCTCTTTTCTCTTCTTAGTTTTACTAAAATTGCACTATATATATTCTATTTTTATTCTACTAATTCTAAAATCTTTAGATTCAAGAGTTTGTCTCCATCTTTTTACTTTAGAAATTACATCTCTTGTAGTTTCGTAAACTAACATTATATTATTTGCAAATAACATACACCATATGATTTCGTCCTGAATGTGCATAACAAGTTGGTCCATAAATAATGCAAAAAGATAAAGGCTTAAGGCTAACCCTTGCTGTAAACCTATGGTAATAGAAAACGACTTAGTCTCTCCTTTATTAGTTTGTTTGCTAGTTGTTATCATACATATCTTTAATCACATCAATATATAATTGGATACATGTTTTTTTTCTAAAACTCACCATGTTACCTCTCTAAGTACTCTATAATAAGCTTTTTCTAGATCAATAAAAACTATATGTAGATCCTTTCTCTTCTCTCTATATCTCTCCGTCAATCGTCACAAAATATGTATAGGTTCCATCATTGACCTCCCGGACATAAAATTAAATTGATTTTCAGATACCCTTATCTCCTTTTTTAGTCATTGCTCAATTATCCTTCTCAAAGTTTCATAGTATGACTCATAAGTTTTATGCCACGATAATTTAAACAACTTTGTATATCTCCTTTATTCTTGTATATCGATATCAAAATACTAATCCTCCACTCATGACGTATTCTCTTCATTCATTGATAATCTTATTAAATAATTTAGTTAACTATTTTAAGCTTATATCTCTAAAACATTTCCAAACTTTAATAGAGATACCGTCCAGTACTACGATTCTTTCACTTTTTATTTTCTTTAGAGTATCTTTAACTTCGCTAATCCTAATTTTTTGACAATATCTGTAGAACCCCGTATTTTTGTTAGAAGTATATGTGAATTATTGGTGATAGATAATTCTATTGTGGTAAATGACTTGAGGTCATAGATATACTTGATAACAAGTTATCAGATATGTATGAGTGTATTTTTATAGAGTTTTGTGCATTAGTTTTGGTAAATTAGCAAAACATGCACGAATCTGAGAAACGTCGGCTTAGTCGACTCATGAGTCGACTTATGAGTCGACCTATGAGTCAACTTATGGGCAGATTTCTAGATTTTTCAGTTGCGGGTTTGGGTGAGTTTTTTTTCGGGTTTTAACCGTATTATATATATTTTCTTTTACCCGAAACCAACCCCAAACCCATCAGAATCCTAGAGAAACCCTAGACCCTCTCTCCCCTCAAACCCTAGTTCGTTTTTGGTGATTTTTGGGGATTTTTGGGGGATTTTCGGAGGATTTCAGCGGGTTTTGGCGAGGTGCAGCGAAGGGAATCATCCTCTCTCGGATTTAGGAGTTGTTCTAGAATACCAGAGGCGAGTAACATCTCGCCCAGCCCTCACCCACTGTTTGTATAGTTTTCTTTGAGATTTATTTCGAATTCTTGAGCCTAAAACGTATTTTTTGTGCATAAAGATAAATGCTTTATATTATGAGTTGCAAGATCTACATTTTTAGTTTAATAAAAACTCACCAACGTTTTTGTAATGTAGATCCATATCTGGAGTTAGTTTTAAACATGTGTTTCTTTGTGATTTCTTTGTTTTTAAACGTTTTTAAACATGGATAAATATGTTTAGGGTTTTAATGTAAGTTATTACATGCAAATCTTTCGTTTCTGTTGATACACATGTGTTAGAATCGGAAATATTTTGTTGGACATGATGAAGAAGAACTTTATATTTAATTTTTTTTCATATAAATCATCGTATGCGAAAAAACTGGGAATTTTCTGCTCAGTCGACTAATGAGTCGACTTATCAGTCGACTTATGAGTCGACTGATGAGTCGACCAATGAGTCGACTGACGGGAAAATTTACAGTTTTATGTTTTGTTCTGGTCGATCAATGAGTCGACCAATCCCAGTCGACTCATGAGTCGACCAATCCCAGTCGACTCATGAGTCGACTGATGAGAAATTTTCTAGTTTCCTCGGTTTGGATCTGTTTGGGTTATTTCAGTTTAACTGAAACTGTTTATGCTTGTTTATTGTTGTTGCGTGCTTTAATATGAACAATGAGTCACCTCGAATAA